AAATATTCCCTAAAATAGGAATAATGAAAAAATAAAAAGCTAAAAATAATAATAGATAATAAAAAAACAAAAATAAAGATAATAGTAAAATCTCTTTCACTTTTTTTTAAAAGGTGGTAAAAAAATAAAAATATATATAATGATAATGAAAATAGAATAAATAAAAAGATTTTTTTTCCTGTCCATATAATAGAGGGAATAAAAATCGTCTTTAAAAAATAATTATAAATAATTCTACCTAGATGTTAAAGAATTATTAAATAATAAAAATAAAAACAAATAATAATAATAATAATAATTTTTTATGAAAAAGAAATATATGAAAAAATTTTAACTAATTTTTGAAAATAATAAAAAGTAACCTTACTCCGAAAGTCCGTCTAAATATTGAAGATTTTATAGATGTTTGTATTTTTAAATTTCAAAACCTTAAAATCCAAAACCCTAAAACTCTTAAAACCTAAAACATCCAAATTTTGAAACCCCAGGGTCTAAAGAAATAACAAAAAAGATTATGATATTAAAGAATTGAAATAAAAAAAAAAAAAAGGAAAAAGATCTAATCTAACTTTTTCCCAAAATTTTGGTTTGGTCAATTTTTTTATTTATATTTATATCCTATTCCCTTCAATGAATATTATATTTATATTGATATTGTTTTGGTTTATTCAATTTCAATATTATGAGTCCTAATTTGAATAGGAATTCTTATGGTACCAATTTAGGGTCTATGATTTAAAAAAGCTATTCTTTCTATAGAATGATTCCTATTTCAATTGATTTCATTCAATTTAATGACTAACAAAAAGAAAATCTTAATAAATAATAAAATAAATTGCATGAACTTAGCTCAATCAAATACTAATATTGATTTTTTATTTTTATGCAATGATTTGGTCTAATGAATTTGTCTATTTATTTAGATTGTACCTGTGTGAGATAATGATTAATAAAAGGAAAGGATGAATTGACAAAAAATTATATATAAAAAATAATTAAAAAAAGGATATTTATGTTATTTATAATATGTGGGGTATTATTATTATTATTATTATTATTAATTTTTTATTAATTAGAATAGAAAACTTTAATATTAATAAAGTATAAAAAAAGAAAAATATATTGTATTCATACAACATGAGTTAATTTGAATTCTTATTGATGCTTTTTCTTCTTAAATTATCTATTTATTTCATATAAAAGGAAATTGATTTCATATATAAAGAAGAGGTATAGATAGATTATTATGTATTAACTGAACCAATGACTATTCATGATTCCATCCAAATCTTAAAACTCTCAAAACCCTAACAATCCAAATTTTAAAACCAAAAAATTGTAAATCACCAAAACCCTAAAATTCCTAAACCCTAAATACTCAAAATCTTAAACTTTCAAAACATTAAACCCTAAAACTCAAAACCCCAAAATAAAAATCCTAAAACCCATAATCCTAAAATCTCGAAACCCTCAAATGAGATCCTAAATCCTAAAAATCCATCAAGACTCTAAATTTAACCCTAACCCTAAATTTAACACGTAACCCCAAATCATCACCCGAAAATCATTCAAACTTTAAAGCCTCAACCTAAACCCCTACCCAAAATCATTCTAAAATTCTAAAGATACATGTAAAAATCTCATGTGAATTAATTTAATTTTGAATGATGCCTAAAAGATAGGGTATTTAAGAATTTTTATTTTATTGAATTTTTTGTGCAAGTCATTAATCCACAATAGTGATGGGACTAAATTAAAAGAAAAAAAATAAAATGAGATCTTAAATATAAATAATCACACCTAAACTTTGTCTAAATGTTGAAGAGTTAAGATAGTCTCATTATATTTAAAAATCCGATTTCAAAATTGCATTTCATCACCTTGCATAACATCCAATGGCATACATGCATTTATTCATTATTGTTTATACTCGTTTCGCATGTATACACCTTTAATTATCATTTGCTAGCTAATTGTACTATCATTAATTTTTTTCACATAAAAATATTTTTTTAAATTTAGTTTAAAAATGTTGAATTGTAAAATAAAACAAAAATAACATTCTAAAGGAAATAATTCTTGGTACTTTACCTAGATGTTGGAGAGTTACCAACAATTATCTTCTACAAAGAGTGTGATTTTCATTTTTAAGGAATGTTGTAATAAATCTGAGGCAAAAAGAATTATCTTTAAATTCTACTTAGATGTTAGATAATTTTTTATCCTAAAGATTTTTGCAATATTCCTAAATAAATGACTAATAAAATCAATTTTTTTAAAAAAAATCAAGGGAATTATTATTAAATTTTAAATTAAAACCATTTTTTCAACCCCAAAGATAAAACGTGATTAATTGGTACCAATTTTCATGGGCGCTATGGGAGTGCTAATCTTTTTTCACGCATAACTAACTCTCGAATCTAATTTTATTTTCGTAAACCAAAATTATTTTTTTATAAACTTTAAACTTATTTTATCACTTTATTAAAAAGATAAATTTTTGGGTAATCAATCACATCCTAAAAGAATTACTGACGACTCTTTTATTTTTTTTATTTTAAAATTTTAAATATCTAGCAGTCTCAAAATCGTTATGATAATGGATAGATATAAAATTTTGTTATTCAATTTTAATTTCACTGAATTTTGTTTCTATATATTTTTTTTTATATAAAATAATAAAATTGATTTTTGGACATCATAAATATGCCAATAAAATTTTGATTTAGTGACAATGAAAAAGCCATGAAACTTTGAGATCTCAAATTTAATTTCTGTCGTGTTTAGATTTGGTTTAATTTTATGTTGCTTTTTTGTAATTATAAGAAATATTTGGTGAAATATTTCAATGCAATTACTTTTGTTCCAAAAAACAAGAAATCAAATGATAGTAGAAAATTTTATTATTTTGACAATTACAAGTTACCCCTTAGAGGTGGCAAAATGGTGGGCAGCCCATTACAAGGTTTAGCACGACCCATTTTGTTATAGTACTCGTATCTTTGTCAGGCATGACCTTTATGGCTGTGCTATGTTGGGCTAAATGTTTCTTAGTTAATGGTTCGGCATGACATAGCCCATAAAGCATCATGGGCTAACTATGATACAGGCCCAGGATTTACTAGCCTATATTTTGCATGCAAATGAAAAATGATCAATCCCTTCCCTTTTTTTGCGTTGTTTACCTTAGAAACTGGGGGAGGGGGGTGTGGAAGACCTATATGGGGCACCTTTTGGGTGTGGGAAGTGTTGGACGTGGTGCAAGCCCAACATGGCACGACCTGTGGAATGGAAATGAAAAAGGATCAATGCTCTCCTTGAAAGGATTGATCCTTTTTCAAACCTTTTTTTTTTTATTTGTTGTAGAGTTAACATGGATAGATGCTTTTTTAAGGGCATCGATTGATTTTTCAAATAAAATGCCTAAGAATCAATCCCCTCTTGACATGGATCAATCCTTTTAATTTTTAACATTCGAAAATATTAAATTTTAACTTGAACAGATCGATAAAAAAGAGATTGGTCAATATATATTCTAACATTCAAAAAAATTTAAATTACAATATGAGGAGATCGATCCACCATGGGATGATCAATCTCCTCTCAAATACATTCAAATTTCATTTTTTTTTTTTTAAATATCGCTTGCAATACATGTGATTTGTGGATAACTAATGAAAAAGATGGATATTTGCGTATGACAAGATATTAGATTGATAATAAATGAAAATTTTAAAAGAATTGATTTGGCACATAGAGAAAATCTTATTTCTAATGAAAATTTTCTAACAATGAAAATATATAAGAATAGTGTTCGTTTTGCAAAATATAGAAAATGTGATTTTTTTTAAAATGCTTTTGAACTTATGGAAATAAAATTTATAAAATATTGAAAAAATGTTCCTTTTTTAGATTATATTGTCTGCAATTATGGATCCTAAATTAAAATTACAAGATATAAAAATTATATTTAAATCTTATTATTCTAATATGCAAATTAATATTGACATGGATAAAGTAAACCAATCTATTAAAGAAAGTTTATTTTTATGTGTACTTTATACGATTTTAAGAATTTAAATGAACTTTAAGAAGAACAATAAACTTTAAGAAGAATAAAAAGATAATCTTACTAAAGATGTAGCATGATCTTTAATAAGTTTAAGAAAATAAGATTCTAATATCTCTTCTAATTGTGAAATTAATTTTTATTTACAACAAAATATTAAGTTTTCAAATAAATAAATGAGTTTGATATTTTTATATACAATGAAATGTGTGTTTTCCTCAAAAATTAGTTGGATGCCGAATATTGCTCAAAGTTGTATCTTTGAAAAAAAAAATAATTTATGATATATGTTATTTATAATTGTAAATTTCTTACTTTTTGGGTAATTAGTATTTTTAAAATTTATTTATTCATAATAAAAAAATTCCTCTTTTATGTTTTTCCCATGGAAGTAGGCATTTTAAGTCGACCATGTAAATCACGTCACAATTTTTTTTTACTCTTTTTTATCATAATTATGACACTAAAATAAGAAATACATTAAAAAAATCTCATAATTAAAAAAAAAAAGTAATATAAAAAATTTTAAAAAAAAAAGTATTTGACCCATGAGGCAACCGCCAATAGACTCAGTCGTTATAGATGGTGCATCGCACGACCCGTGTTGTTATCGGGTCATGGACTATGATAGGCCAAGCTTTTTAAAATAGGTCATGTTTGACATGACCCATATTTTAATCGTGTTGAGTCGTCACAACCTTTTACAATATCATGCCTAGTAATGGGTTAACAGTTTAGACCATGGGCCGTTTTGCCAACTCTATCCCTAATTGATAATATTAATTAGTTTATAAGATTAATTAGGGTCAATTATGAGGGACAAAACTAATGGATAACAAATAATAATTAAATCCAACTCAATCTATTTGAATTTATATTTACAAAGTATTATTTCTTAAAAATAATTACAAAAATAAATTAAATTAAATTTCGAGTTTAGGATTTTTTAGTGTGCACGCAATGACTGTAATAAGTGAAGTAATAATGACATGCACAATGACATGCAAAGTAACCTTAACTAGTGGCATCCGGTAGCATTTTTTTAACATTTCTTTTCTTCTATTTTTCTTTTTTTTTTTCCTCTACTAATTATATATCCAAACGTTACGTTAATTTATTATTCAACACTTATTTGAGCATATAATTAGAAATATTATTCCCAACATTGTGTTCATTAAGACATTCTGCTGAATGAATATCCCATGAATCGATATCATAACTCAACCTTATCTTTTATATAGAAAACCTGCATAGATCCAGAAATCTTGTTCTAACATGGCTGGGATTGCCACTAAATTCCCTGGCCCTTCTCACTGGCTAGATTTGAGATGTAACAAGACTTTAATTAATCTCAAACCAAAGAAATCAAATTAACCTGCCAATTTTGATCCAAATCCAAAAAATCCATCTCACTCAAACCAAAACCTGATTCAACTCAATTGGTCATAAAAAGCCAACAACCCAAACCCGTTCAACCCGAAACTTAATACAACTCGAATCTAAATCAACCTGAATGGAAAATAACCCGCCCAATGGAAGAAAATTCCTGTCTTTTTTTTTTTTTTAAAGTTTTGAAATCAAGAAGCAGTTATGTTACTCAGTGTACTAAGCGAAAGAATTAAATAAAATTTAACGTTGTTTGCAAAAGCAAATTATCATGAGTCAAAAAATTGTCATCAACTGCATAAACAATTACTTTCACTTATATCCACAACATTCTTACAGAGGATATGGATCTTTCACACACTGCATGGTATCTGGTAGTAAATTATGACTAATTGGCTTGAAACCTCTTCTAAACCACCAATTTATGAGCGTCAGTTCTAGTTTTCGCACCTGCAAACATTTACTGTCTTCCATTACAATTCCTCAAGCATTGAAAGAAATAACAGATATTATACAGCCTATGAAACATTATCAAATTACAGATGACGAGAAGTAACACAAACAAAAATGGTAAAGACAATTGTAAACCGGCCTTTAACCAAGATCTCATCTGCACCCTATACTATTCCATCTTTCAATGCAATGTACATGTGTTTTCCATTTAAAACACTAAAAAACTCACAAGGAAAAGAAAAGAGAGTTAACTTTTCTATATTAAAAGATTCAACAGCACATAAATGGTCATAGGTTTGATATGAGTAAATTTTAAAACATTATTTCTAATGTTACCCAAAATATTTCATGTTTGCTTCATCTTAGACAGAAGTTCAAAACAAACAAATAGCTCAAAGTAGATTCTTCGCATCTATTCTTTCTACAGGCACTCTTGCAATTCACTTCCCAAATCCATCCTCCTAATGTGAATAGCCATTGCCCAACATGGGTCTCATAATTGTAATTAACAGAAAAGAGTAAGAGGATGATTAAAAGATTGTCCATGATGTTCAGTATATTTTGACAATCAAAAAAACTACATTGAAAACACTTGGTGTAACTACCAATGAGGGATTGTTGATTGATATGGAAGTTTGTTGGACATGCATAACAGTATAAAATAAAAACATCAAGCAATAAAAAAAATTAAAAAAAAAAAAACTTGCAGAGTGAATATTTAAGCACAGGTGTAATCCTAATGTAATGCACGTAATGGACCCAATATCAAGGAAAGCTTGAACTACATTTCACTTAAGAGGGAATAAGCAAGTCAGGAGCAATTGGCAGAGATTTAATAATTTCATCAAAGAAGAAAAAACAAGCTCAAACACTATATCAAGAAACACAGCTAACTGGCAACCCCACTAACACAAATCTACCACAATTATTCTCATCATCATATACCTAGACATATATATGATTGTTGTTAAGTTGTAGTCCACCGAGAGTGACAGATTGAATTGTTGCAAAACTCTAAAAGACTTATTTCAAAAATAGCTTAGGGAAAAAGATAGTCTCTAGTCATCAAATAGAACAGAAGAATTTACAAATGACAAGTAACTGGATGTATGGAGAAAAGATCCCAATAATTATGATATTTATTAAGGATCTTAAGTTAACAGCTAAGGCTTAATTTGAGGATAAAAACTTCTGTAGCAAGTTTCTCTCAGAATAAGAGAACAAATATATATCAAAATACTTTCCCTTGGTTGAGTTCTCAATCTTTAGTGTTCAGAGTGTTCAATAAGATACTTCAGTGCATAAAAAACAAACAAAATGAAAAGAAAGGAAAACCAACCTGCCTAACAATGAAAGGCTCTTCAACAAGAGTTAATGGCTCAGTTAATATAGTCAAAAAACCATTTCGATTTCCATAAACAATATCGGTAAAGGGCCGATCACCCACCTGCCATAAACATAAATTATGTCACCAACATAATCCCAACTCTAGAATAAGTCAACCATCCAGTAACTTCTATCACCCTTTGCATACCATGATAAGATGTGATGATTTACATCCAAAGTGTTTCTCGATTTCTTCAGCTGTTCCAGCCGGTTTCTTCACCCCTGGAAAGACATATCAGACACCCAAATCAATTCTAGATAAACCAAACAGTAACTCAAATTAATGTGTGCTAAACCAACAAATTAGCAGTAATTATAATTCATCCCAAGCTTTTTACATGCTTAATGTTCAACATAGAGTCGAAACTGAGACATACTGTTAAGCAATTGATTCCTTTCGTCATGAATGGTATGGAAATGAATTTGATAACAGACTAAAACTAAATGCTTGAACCGAGGGAAAAATAAACGCTTACGATGCCTTATGACTTTAATCCCAATAGTCCCTTCTAGTTTCGTCGCCTTCGAACCATCATGATCATACTCTAAAAGACCTTAATTCATCGAAAAGAGGGGGAAAAATAAAAAAAAATCAACATATTGCACAAAAACTCAATCAGGAAGGAATAAAACAGGAATCAATCTCAAAGAGTCGAGCCAAAAATTACCAGCAGAGTTACTAAACACAGCGATATCAGGACCAAAAACATCTTTGCACTGCTCAATAGAGGGCCGGAGAGGAGGCCAAAGCGTCAAAGAATAAGGAGCAGTAATCGTATTATCCTTATCGAAAACAACACCTTTAAACCCTCTTCTATGGAGCTCATTCCAATCAATACACCTTATATCAGGCACTGCAACATGGGGCAACGCCAATTGGCAGTCTTTAACGAACACTCCAACCGAAAAAACAATTCCTTCGACATTGATTCTTTGTCCCACCGCTGCTTTCAAATCTGTCCACCACATGTTTGTGAAAATGACTCTAAGAAAACCCCAGAATTTGGTTTTGGGATGTTTTTGCTCTTCTTTTTCTTCGCTTTGGGGATCTGGGTCTTGGTTATTTGCGTTGTTTTTGCTCAAGGAAGAGTAAAATTGGTCGACGAAAGTGGATTTCTGATCTGGGTATGTGTAGTTATTTGTTCTGTTCTCGTTCTCTTGTTGGGGTTTGCTGAAATTGTTGGTTGTTGTGGAGAGAGTTAAAGAACAGAAGTTTTTGATTTGGTATTGGTTCGTGGAGAAGGGAGGATTGAAGGGTTTTTCTTTGAAATGGAAATGAAGAAAGCGGTTGGGGGCGGGATAGCAGCAATTGGGGAATGCAGCAATTGCGGCCGGCCGCATCTCCAATGTGTTCTATTTTTAATTACCCGATTAACAAGTGCATTTCATTTTCGTTTTTAATTTCGAGTGAAGTTATGGTAACTTTTTGCAACAGTTGCTTTGGTTTGCACTTCGGGTTCGGAACTTCAGAGCCATTGAGGGACCGTGGATTGCCAGCTATTAATGATTAATTTCTTATCTTCCACTTTTTGACCTAATAATAAAGAACTTTTAAGAAAGATATTAAAATTTAAATTTAAATCAAATCATGATATTAAAGGTTGTTCAAAAGAGAGAGCCTAGAAAGATAGACTCCTTTGATATGTTTTTGTTCATTTTTTTTCATTTTTTTTTTTCATGCGTTTTTGGGTAAATTTTTTTCCCTTTTTTTTATTTAATTGGATGTGGGGTTTTTTTTTTTTTTGGTTATGTTGAGATAATTTTGGTATTAAAGATTTCAATTTTATTTAATAGAACTGAATTGTTGAATAAATTTTACGATTTTATAGTTTTCGGTTTTTTTATTGAACAATATTTTTCAGTGTTTTTTTTTTTTTGTTTTTAGTTTATGTAAAATATATGTTACTATGAAGTTCGTATATTGATTTGAACGTATTTTTCGAAAGATTTTATTTTTGCATGTTCTGATCTTGATGAAAATTAATCTTTAGTTTTTATTTTGTTTGATAATGCTTTTTTTATTGGTGTTGTAATCATTTTTTATGGAAACATAGTTTTTTGTGGATATTTTATGTATTTTTTAGCAATATTTTATTTTGTATGTTGCTGAATCAAGTTCTGATTTTGTTTTCTATTGATACTTTCTTTTTCTACTAGGCCAAAGCTGGAATTTTTACACTTCTATTTAGCCTAGATGATCATTTTCTAGGAAGTTCCATCTAATTTGATTAGTTCTACCATTTCATTATCAACCATCTTTAAGACTCATCAACTATATAAAAACTCATTTCTTTTTACTCAATACTATCTTTTCCAAGTTGTCTTTTTTATAATCGCAACAGAAGAATAGCAAAAAAGATTTGCAAATGTTCAGCTAACAAAATAAAGTAATTTTTTTATCTCTTCAACTAGGGATTTATTCTAGGTTTTTGGATAAGTTTTGTTGGAGGATAGTTTAATCTCAATAACCAAACACTTCCAGTAAATTAAAACTAGAACTTTAATTCACACTTCCATAAATAGTTTTTTTCCCCTTCAACTTTATATGGTGTATTTTGATTTTTTTTAAATCCCCTGCTTTTAGTAAAGGAACAAATAGCAAGGAATGCATCTTTTACATGGGCCAGTCCTTACCTATATTTTTTTTGCAATGCTCTTTAAGCCTTGGACATTCTTGAGTAGAAAGACGCTTGAGGGTGCTCAGGCACTAAAAACCATCCGAAAGTGATGTCATATTGGGACAATCTTATATCACCAAAGATCTAAGAAGTGAAATATTTGTAATCCACTTAGGCAACACATTTAAATAAGACAACTTTGGATTTTCAAATTTTGCAGAGTTGTTACATGTTTAATACTTTGAGAAATAAATGACAGCTCTAGACAGCATAAAATGCACAAACTCCTCAATATGAAAAGTTCATGCCAGTTAGTTAGCAAAGAAACCAGACTTGGATTGTACATAACTGTTAAGTGTTTAAGAGAACTAAGATGTTGCAGTCCTATTGGTAAAAATCCCTAAAAAATTCTACTAACACAGGTCCTTACTTATATTTTTCTTACAATTTATTTGGTCATTCCTTTTAAGACAATTTATTTAATGATTAAGGCACATTATCTAAGACCTATAACCTATTACAGAAATAGAGAAAAAGGGGTGGATCAAGTTCCTCTATTATCTGGTCAGACTGCTCTCTAATGTTATGAAGACTTCATGCTTAGTTTTGTTAACAAATTCGAATCTTTTATAAGAAGTGTAATTGAAGAAATAAGCATTAGTCTTGGTCTTTTTAGAGAACTTAGATGTTGTATGGTTCTTATGTCATTCTTTTCCCCCTTTATGTTCAAATTGTGAAGTTATTGTTGAATCATAATTATGAAACCATTGCATGTTTTTCTTAGTGCAGGCATCTTGCTCTTCTTTTTGGTTATGGTAGATGGAAATTCCCTAGCATTAGTGAATTTCAGTATTATGATACGTACATGTAGGTGTAAAGTTTTTTCATTGTATGATGTAAACTCTGTTGTTTCAGTATTCTTAAGATAGATTTTCTTACAAGATGGAGCACATAAAGATGGTTGCCTGTCGAGAAAGAAAGGCTCAATAAGGAGAGAAGGCCACAGAATACGGGCTGTTACAATAATTTTCCATCAGGGCTGCCTTTTTTTGAAAAGGGATGGGAAAGTTTTATATCTGATTATGGCCATTTCTTCCTGGTACGTATTCTTTATCTATTAATATTTTCAAATAAGATTTATATCTAACAAAGTTTCATATGAATTGTGGTCAATTAATACTCTACTACTTTCATGCATTATCTCTATTTGTGTTGCTACAATACATCAACTGAAAATGACTTAAACTATCCATTTGAATTTAATGATTGAGCCATTGACAAGATATTTGCAATTCAAAAGTGCTGTGTTGAGTTACTTGTTCCTTGACGATCATAGTTATGGTTATTTGTTATCATTACAACATTTTTATTTTGTATTAAGTTACTCATCACTAAAATGGTAATATATGGGGTACAGCTCTTGGTTGGAGTTGTTATTCCTTATCAGTAGCTATCAAATCATTTCAAAAATTATCAAATTAATATTGCTTTAGACCAAGGTTACTAATAAGTAAAGGTATGTATTAATTGGAGAAATGTGTTTTGCTTATAACATCATGATTTCATAAATTCACTATGCAATGTCCCGCCTCACATTAAAAATGATTACCAAAACTTACTTAGTGTCATTCAGAATCTAAAAAACTGACTTTGGAATAATCTTTTGGAGAAATGGTATAGTGGTAGGTTGATTTGTCATACAAATGCCATTCTTGCAAGAGCAGTAAAATAATGAACTAATACTAAGAAGATGAGCAAACTTATGTTATGTTGGTGGCTAAAATTGGTGGAATTTATTGGTGGTACCAGATTGTATCATTCCCTGCTGAACTTACTATTGGTTACTACAACACTAATCTTAGGGATGGTTATGATTTAGTCGTCTCAGTGTTGTTTCGCTATGGAGTTGCTTTGCATATTCAGTGAGAATTTCATCTCTATTTAGTTCATTTTTGTCTCTTTCTTGATTTCGTTTTTACCTATATGGGTTTTTGTTTGTTGGGTTTCTTTTCCCAAAAACTTTCAGCACAATGCATTATTCATTTAATGACTTAAAAAAACATTTTGGTGCAATGTTTGGGGTAAACTAACACTTGCCCAAAAAATAGAATGGATTGATGGACATGCAAGGCTGTGAATCCCCTGAGTGAAACTTTATTTTATAGAAAGTTTGAAACCAATTTGATTCTTTCTTTTTGTGGATTGACCAAATCTTGAGGTTAAAATTTACAAGATGAAATATAAAATGTTCATGGAGTTTGTATTTTTATATATTAAGATACAGATCACCACACTGCCTTAATTTCTTTATTTGTTAAAAAGGTATAGGATAAAAACAAACTAGATACACACTTTTAGGATCTAAGTATATCTATAAAGAAATTCTAAGTCATTGCCTACAATGGTAATCAAAAAATTGTTTGAACTACTTACGATACTTTCCTTGAAGTACTTATTTTCTTAACTTCTCTATGAAATTTTTAACTTATTTAGCAACTGTTAAAGTAAATATTGCTATCCTCAGATGTTTATTTACTTGCTCAAATATTCTACAAAACTTTTAAACTGCATTGACAGCTTTAAATATAACATTTGTTTTTAAATTTTTGACTTTGGGTTTTTTTTTTTTATCTTCTTTAAATATACTTATACAATATATACTAAAATGAATAGAAAAAACTGGGCAGAGGAGGGCCACACACTAGTATTTGATAAATTGAAACTTGTTATATTGAAAAATAATAGCCTAAATTTATATTTTAAAAAAGATTAATTATAAAATTAATGATGATTTTAAAATGCCCAATTAAAAAATATATATACTTAAACTAAAAGAAAAAATCACAATGTAGTTTTTGAAATATATAATTTCACCCATTATGTGGCTGTTTTTGAAAAAAAAAATGTTTTAAAAGAGGAAAAGAAGTCATATGATTAGAATGTGGTAATTCTTTCTAAAAAGAAGTAGGTAATTGTTTTTTTAAATGTGTTTCTAAAAATAATAAAATGATATTTAAATTTATTAGTTTTAAATTGATCTTTATTTTGAAATAATAAAATATTAAATTAAATAAGATTTATTAATATTTTTTAAAAAAATTATTTAGTACATATTTTTAAATTTTATTTTTTTGGTACTAGATAAATATTATGTACTTCAAAGTAATATTTGAAATAACAATACTTTGGAAAAAAGTTTTAGAATTTGAAAGAGATTTATTTAGTACATGATTTTTATGATATATTATTTTTGGAACTAAAAAATATTGTCTTCAAAAAGTTATTTGATTTGAAAAATATTTTTTAAAATTTAACCCAATCTTTCTTTATGTTTTTATATTTCTCAAACGAAAAATAATCTTTAGAGATTATTTATTTAAGTTTAATTGAAAGTACAATTGTTGTTTTAAAGTAAATTTATTTATCTTGAACCTTATATATTTTGATAATAATGAACTTTTAACTAGTGAAAGTTGGTTTGTATGAACAAGGTTTTTACAACAATGATTTTGATTTATTTTTATATTGATTTATAAAGTTTCAATATTCACATTATATATGATTGGAAATCTATTTGACTTTATTTTCTAATGGTCCAAATGTCTGAAAATTGCACAAACTGTAGTTTTAGAAATTCAATATAATTTTTATACATTGATTAAGATGTTGAACTTTATATAAATGAAAAGTGCTTTAAGTGTAGTTTTTGTAACTTCAAATGAATCATAATTTAAAGTTCTATAACTCAAGATATGGTTAATTTAGTAAGAATAGTGCAAAAATGTCAAAACATCCCAAATGCTGCCCAGCATGAAGAGATCGATCATTAATCAAAATGATCAATCCCTAGCTTACAACAGCCAAAATTTGAATGAGATGCATGAAAGGATTGATCTTCTTATGGGCAGGATCAATTTTTCAGCCTTGGCAACCTC